GAGTAAAAAATATCCTAGTGATAAAACTTTATTTTTATGGTTGTATAAAGTTATTACTAAAGGACTTATTTACTCAGTCATTTTGCCTTAACAGGGAGCAATATGTTTGATGTCTAACATGGTTATGGAGGTGATATCCAGTGGCTGTAGCCTGTGTGGTAATAGATTGTGTTTTTTGTGTGTATAGTCATGCATATAGACAATCCTGCAAACAAGAAGCCAGTGGAGATAGAAAAACCTGACCTTCCAGCTGTGGATGTGGTAAAACCTGTAGAGGGGGCTGAGCCACCGCAGATCAAAGGACCAGTGGAAGTACCCGAAAGGAACAAGGACGAAGAGGTGCAGTTGGACCGCCCTGATGCTGGTAAGCAAACTGGACCAGTGCTCGAATCTTAACCGGTTCTTCAATTAACTTTTGTAGAAGTAGTGAAGTTTCGTATATTTTTCCCAGGTGTCGCTATGCCAGAGGGGGAGGCCCATCGCCATGAACCGCCCATCCCTCGTGACGAAGTCATGGTAGACACAAGGAAGAACAACGCAGAGCTGGAGGAGGACAAGAAACAACCAGTTCCAGGAGGCGAGGAAAAACCCAAAGTAGATGAAGAGCAAGGGCACGCTGTGGAGGCCAAGGACAAAAGAGACAACAAGGTTGAAGAAAAACCAAAGCCCGCAGAGGCTGTTGTGGGGAAAGAGGGAGTGGATTTGGATGGAGGTGAAGTCCTGTCCAATGAGGTGCTGGAGAAGCCGGTTGCAGACGCAGGAAAAAAGCAGGACGTTCCTCCGCTAAAGAAAATTGAGAACCCCGACCATGTAAAAGATCCTCTTGCAGGGAATGTGGCTGTGGTGGAAAAACAGGCTGTGGTGGCACAAGTCGATAATGTCGTCAAAGCTCCAGACGCTGCAGGGAAACGTGAGTATTTGTCACTGTTTTTGTGTAACTGTAGCAGCTGGGTGGAAAAATGCGACACTGACCTGATGATATTTGCTGATCCTTCAGTTCCACTTTCTGATGGAGAGCATCATCCTCCTGGAGACGAGGCTCCAGCTGCAGACAACAAAGATACAGCAGAAGAGAAGCTGGACGGTAAGTGGAGTAGAAAACTTCCAGAGGTATAGACATGAGTTAATGGTCTAGGTCACCTGTAATACAGATGTATCACTTGGTAAAACATTTTCTTTGATTGCATATGATGTAATCTAAAATACAGCTGCATAAAAATATTTTTGTCCGGCTAACTTGAAGTTGGTACACATTTTTATGTATTCAACAATCATACAGCAAATATTTCATGTAGAAGAAGTGTGGATTTGAGTCCATTGACAGTAGCCTTGGTTGACCAGAATGCAATGCAGCCGCAGATTTGTGCAGATGGTGTATAAGCCTCTGAAATACAGGGGTCCTGTGGACAGTAAGCCCCAGCACATGACTGTTGTCTGTTTAGCCCCAAGTGAGGAAAAGAATGACACAATCAGTAGTTATTCTCGAAATTGTCCCTTACAAATTGAAAATGATTAATGAAGGTAAGGGGGTTTTCCCTTAATTGGCTAAATTGCAACAAACTTTAAAGGATTTGCAGTGGTTTGCTGCATGTTGTTTATGCCCCTGCCTGTCTTTTCCCCATCTCAGTTTGCTTGTTTTATCCTATGTAGTCTATTCTCTGTGGTCTGTTCTGGCTTACTGGACCTTTTTTGACAGTACAAATAGTGTAAAAGACAGCAGAGATATGAAAATCCATTTCTTGCTCCTACTTCTTGACCTGGCTTGATACACTACGCAGTCATTTTTGGCTTTTGTTGACTTTCTTGTTCTGTTTACTTTTGCCCTCTCTCTCCTTCTCCATCTTTACCCCTTTTTTTCTTTCTTTCTCTGCCGGACTCCTATCACAGTGATAAAAAAGCTGGTTGCAGGTATGAATTCCCTCTTGCCTCTTTTCTTAATCTTGGTCTGTCGCTCTGTCATTCACTCAGTGAGCCATTTATCTGTTAAGTTCATAATATTTACATACGTACAATACATATATTAATTTGTGTTTTTATCATATAACTAAATAATGCGTCAGTATAGAATCCACCCACTCACCTTACCCCTTAACATAGTTTGTGTGTGTCTACAGCTGCCCAATACTGCCCTGTCCAGTTCATGTTAAAGGCCTAGAGGAGTGTGTTTGAATGGATCGAAGAGACAGTACCATAGTGGAATATTGTCTATTTCCCCTTCCCTTTTCACCAAGACAACTGGCCCGACATCAGCCTAACTAAGCTTCTTAACTAATGCAATGTTCTGAAAGCAGGTTGTGACTTATTTTAATTTATTGTCTGTGTCATGTAGAGGGCCAGCTCGACCACGCCGTGCTCCTGCAGGTGATCAAAGAGCAGCAAGAGCAACAGAAGAGACTTCTAGACCAGCAGGAGAAACTATTGGCTGTCATAGAAGAGCAACACAAGGAAATCCACCAGAAACAACCTGCTGGTGCGTATACATACAATGTTTGTAGACAGGACACTTGGTGGTAGTGTTCAAGTTAAGAAATAAATATTAAAAGGTGTTTAATTTAAAGGGGCTGGTGCTGAAGGTGAGGCTGAGAAAGGCATCCCAGAACACGTGGAGCTGATGGAAGGTGGAGCAGCAAAGCCCAAAGAGTCTGGCCTGGCCTCAGACCTGAAGCAGCCCAAGGAGGGAGCTGGAGCTCCACAGGTTGGAGTAGCTGAGCCTCATGCCGGTGCCCAGAATCAAGCTCTAGCTGGGGATAAGGGTGGTGAAGTTGGGGCTCCGAAAGTAGCTGTTCAGGCAGCTTACAAGGAGGATGTCCACATTGCAGCTAGAGGAGAATCCCATAAACAGAGTGAGTTGGGGGCGAGGGGAGTGCCACTGGGAAAGAAAAGACCCAGTGACCATCAGATGGTACCTCAGAATGATCCAGCAACTGATGAAGAAAGAGGCCTGGATAAGGAAAAAGAGAAATATGAAAATCTTAAAAAAGAACTGATAGAGAAAGAAGTTCAGGCAAGACTGGAAAAGGAACAGCTTGAGAGGGAGATAAAGGAAAAGATGGCCAGAGAACAGGAGCTAGAAAGAGTAGAGAGAGAAAGAATAGAGAAAGAAGTGCAAGCGAGGTTGGAAAAAGAACGACTGGAGAGGGAGAGACAGGAAAAGCTGGCCAAACAGCAAGAGCTGGAGAATGACAGAGCCGAGAAAGAGAGGATAGAGAAAGAAGTGCAGGCAAGGGTGGAAAAAGAGCGACTGGAAAGGGAAAGAAAAGAGAAGCTGGCCAGAGAACAGGAGCTGGAGAAGGAGAGAGCGGTAAAACAGAAACTCGCACAGGAGAAAGCTGCAGAAGCTAGACTTCAGCAGGAGATTCAGCAGGCAGACAATGAAATACTTGACAGAGTGAGGAAAGAGAAAAATGCAGAGGAGGCTCGGGAGAGGCTGGCCCAGCTGGAGGGAGCTGCAGAGGCCGCAAAAGCTATAAAACCTGCACCGGGGGGTGAGAGAGAAGACATTGAAGCTTTGAAGAAAGGAGGACGAGACCTCAAAGAGAAAGTTGCTGTTGAGGTGGACCCCAGAGAAGGTGTGCAAGACGGGGCCGTCAAAGCCGAGGCTCGCCCCCAGGGCTCCCACGAGAAGATCCGGGACCAGGGAGAGATGGATCTAAGGCGGAGGCGGAGGGCACTGGGACCCAGAGAGGCTGGAGAGCCTCCAGAGAAGACCGGGGTGCCCAGGGGGGTGCCGAGGCTGGAGCCCCTGCTGGAGTTGGGGGGCTCAGACCTGCATGCGGCCCTGGAGGAGCAGCTACTGGCTGGGGCAGTGGTGCACTCACGGCAGATTAAGCAGGCCTCAGAGGATGAGGAGTGAAATAACACACATCAGACACACAGATTCTCACTCAATCATTGGACAGAAACACACACTGTACACCTGCAGAAAACTTCTAATACGGTGGACCATGATATTGTTGCCTTATATTCTTTCTGGCCTTCAGAAATGTTGTGGACAAAGAGACATTTTCTCTTCCTTGATACTGTGTACACCAGAAACAACCCAAAGTCTTTATTAAAGAGCAAAATGTATGTAAATATTAACTTATTTTTGTCTCTAGGGGGAGAATTTTTTGAAGAGGTTACTGTTTAAATGTATATAAACCTATGCAAATACCATTCTATGGAATGTTTAGACCGGGCGCCTATGTTATTTTTATTTGAGTCACTTCCTTTCATTCACCAGCTTTGTGGAGTCTGTCTCTGTAGAATCTGTTTTATATCGTCTCCTGTGCAGATTTTGTGTTAAATATTCTGGTCACTTTGTGGTTATCTGTTACTTTGAGATGTAAATATTGTAAATGTGTTATGTGATCAAGGTTTAAGGTTCCTTTTGAATCTACATTTACCACATATTGGATGTAATGTGGGTTCAGGCGCCTTCGTGTAAGTGTTGTTTCACTATACTTTCAAATGAACGTATCTGAATACAACCTCATGCTGGAGCTACGAGGTATATAGTGTAGCCTTACTGTTTGATAAACTGTGTACAATGAAGCAGCTTGATCCATTGGATACATGATTCTTGTTACTAATCATTCCATCTTCAACATCTCTTTCCTGTTGATTTGTCAGTGCCTTTAAATCCATATGCTGCAGTAGTGATATTTTACAAAAAACTAAAATGTTTTTCTCAGTTTGTGGTCTTTTTGTTTCCACTGGACCTCTTACTGTAAACAGTACAGTAATTATGAGAAAATAAGATATGTGCATTGTGTTAAGGACATTGGAAAGAAATATGGACTGTGTTTGTAGTGTTTCTTAGTAATACAACTTTTCAGAAAATTCCTCCATCAGTTAGCACTTCAACACATGCTGGACCTTTGCTTTGTACAAGAGGCTATTTTTATGACTATTTTCCTATGTGCATTGTATTTCTGTACATTTTGCTGATAATAATAAATAAGAAGCACTCTATGAAATCCATGGCTGTTGGTCTGTGTTCACACAATAAAGGCAGATACTAGCAGCAATGTTTTATTCACCACTGTATATTTACAGAAATCTATTAGTGTGGAAGAATGTAGCAGTGCTACCTGGCTTTGCAACAACATGCAGTCTCCATATAAACAATGTCAAAAAACATATTGAATTCATTTACAGTGCCAAGTTGAAGTAGTGCTATCATCAAGACACAATAATATGCTTCCAGCAATCAATCAACACTTGTCTTCTCCCACAGCAATGAACGGTTGAGGGGAGGTCCACTGAATTTACTGCTCACAAAGTCAGGACAGTTTCCATTCATTTGGCTTTTTTCTTCGCCTGAAATAAAAATAAAAAAATCTTTTGAGTGATGACCATCTATCACAACTACATAAGACCAGTAGAAGGATAGCTGACTGTCACTTACTGCACTTATAAAGCAGGTCTTTAGTGCTTCAAATTCCTTGGCACACAGGTCCTTCTTCAGCTCCTGTCTGCCTGTTGTGGTAGCTGCCACGCACTTCCCGTACACTGCTGCCTGAATCACACAGAGGTTGACAGAGGAAAACAAAGTAAGTCATCTCATTTTTACTGTCTATCCAGGATATTGGGAGATTTTGTGATTTACAAGACAATTTCCCACATAAAATGAAAAGTCTAGTTTCTGTTACACTTTGCTGTCATTCTCACTACCTAGTTCTTACAACTCCTACTTAGTTATATTGTACACAATGTTTACTGTGAACATAGTTTGTATTTGTCTATATGTTCATATACAATCTTTACTTATGTGTAATAGTGTAACTTCTCTTCATTACTATACATTATTATTAAAGGTTTTTATTTTAATTCTGTATTCTTTTACAACACAGCACATTTTGATCCAATGCTAATTTATTTTTTCCATCTTAATTATATAAATAAAACATACAAACAACCAAGTGCCTTATAATAACGTAACAGGCATGTTCTTGTAACCTGCAGTATCTCAGCAGTCATCTCTCAGCATCATCCGACAGCCAAATGCAGTAGAAAACAGTGAACTGCATAATGGATGTTTACCTGTGGTGCTACAATATGAACTGACTTACTGTCTGTGGGGGGGAAACTGTTATTTTGATGATGTTAAGTGGCTTTAAGTGTATAAGCAGCTACCTGGAAGGAATTTCAATGCTACGTTAACTATTCACAGACGTGCACGGCAATATTTCCCTTTAAACAGCTCTCCTCTGTCAGTGCTTACCTCTCCAGTACACTGTGCAAAAAGTTCGGGGAAAAGTCTTATTTTCTCTCGACTGCGACTCCAGACATTTGACCCAGACATGGTCGCTGCTCGTTTGTTAACAAAGGTCCTTCAGGGTTTTAAGTCAGCTGACAACCACGATAAATACGAGCTGATATTTCAAAAAACAGACGTTGCTTTACGGTTTGTTAAATGTACTAGCAAACTCATAAAGCATTTAAATAAAAAATACACGTCAACCACCAGATAAAGCATTTCTGTAAGCCATGGATAGCGCCATATTGTTGACCCTGTCATCAAGGAAACGTCCGGCACAATGTTCGCTATTGTGATTGGCTCATCCACCTGTCAATCAAAGTGTCGGCGCTAGCGTTCCTGAATTTGATTGGCTGTTTTTTGACCTCAAGCGCGTCAAGCCCGCCAATAGACTTTAAGATTTTCCTAGCTGTCACCTCAAGCCCCGCCCTCCCCTCGTACCCCTACGAGGAAGATGAGTAACCCGCAGCCAGGATTGCTAAATCATGGCAACATTTATGGAACGATTGGCCTTTCTTCAGAAAGTAAGTGCAGTTTACGGTCGTTACTAGTTGTGAAAACCGTTAACGGCTCGACGGAGGACGGTGAAGATGGCGTACGTTAACGTGTCTGTTTGAATCTGTTAAGTTGTGCCATCACTAGCTTGTTAGTAGCCTGCTAGCTAACTGCAAGAAGAAACACATTTGGTAGTTAGATATAAGTTAATTTGTCAGCTGACCTTTAGGTGGGCTCGTTGAAGTCTGAAAGCAGCAGGCTGGCACACTGTTAGACCCAAACTAACCCGGTACTCCCGGTAACCCTGGTGTCATACCAAGCTTGTGACCATGTCAGTATCTGTTTCACCATGAATCAAACTGAGAAGCACACAGGCTGGGTTATAATCTCATGATGTACGGACTGTGCAGTTCTCATAGGGTGTAACACAGTGCCTTACTGTCAGTTTGAACTTGTGATTTAGTATCACACTTATTTATTTATTTTTTTTAAAATCTGTTCCACCAAATGAAGGTCCCAACTCTGATGAAGGCTACAGCAGATGATGAAAACCCCTGTCCTGGCTACCTTTTCCAAGAGATTGGAAGTATCCTTTGGCAGCCTCTGCTGTGGTTCAGCCAGCACCTGCAACTTCTGGACACATGCAAAGAAACCACCTTAGCTGATAGCTGCTGGATGTCATCTGTGGTCTACAAAAAGTGTGAAAAAGGGCTTTTAATTAAATGATTAATTATTATTATTATTATTATTATTATTATTATTATTATCATTATTATTACCATATTATTAAGAGAAAATGTAATGTTTTTGTATTCTAACCAGGGAAGACTTTGTCCAGATTAGACATACTGACTCTATTACACTATAGTAATACCCTTAACCACTGTCACACTGTAGAAATCTCCCATGAGTCTTTAGGTTATGGTCAGTGTTTATTGGAGTACCTTCTGGAAAGGCTCCAGGTGGAGTCCTGTCACGTCAAACTGAAGGTAAGGATAGTGTTATTATTCAAGTTTCTGTGTGTAGTATGTAATTGTTAGAGGGAGCTGTGTCATGTAGCTGCAATGTATAAGGCTTTTTATGTTTTACTCCCTTTCCTGTGTGTGAGTAACTGTTCCGTTCATGCTTCTGTTGTGTTAGGTGCTGAAGATCTTTGTCCATCTTTGTGGTCATGGCTCAAACCATTTCCTGACAGAACTTAGAAGGAACTCCACCTTCATCCAGCAAGCATCAGGTTAGACATTGTGCTTTGAGCTCCATTTAACTCTCATCACTCTGGGTCCGCTCCGTCACCCGAATACTCACTGGCTGTTGGGTGTTGTGCTTTTTAAGTTTACAGCGGCCCTCCTGATCCTATCCATGGCACAGCATTGTACCAGAAAGTGAGAAATGCAGCACAGGTGAGGTTGTGTGTATAATCATAATGTCAATCATATATCTGTGACAGCTGGGCAAACACACTACAGTTTTACTTGTTGTGGATGCAGGAAGTGGCCAGGTTGCTTTTCACAGATACAATTTCCACAAAAAGCGGCATCTCCCCACTGAACCTGGCTCCCCCAAAAATGGGTGAGTAATAACAAGCCCTTCATTTAATAACAAGGACTATACTCCACACAAATCAATTAATTACACTGTCACATAACACTGGGGTTATAGATATGGATACCCTAATAAAACTTGAACACCTTATTGTCCTGTTATATGTAATAATACTGTACATCATCTGACATATTAGAGTGTCTATAAGGAGATTAATGAATTTTAATCAGTTACATTAAGGTTCTTTGTATTTTGTGAACCTAAAGCCCTGAGTACAATATGTCTTCTGTGTGTCTTTCTGTCCAGGTATGGGCTCAGCAACTTCCCACAGGTCAGGAATGCAAGGCTTTGGATACAGTCCAGGCAAGCAGGGGACAGGTGAGTCCGACAAACCACCCCACACACACACACACAGTATACAAATCCAATCAAGCTCATCGTCTATGTACATTTCTGTACCCTTTGTACTGTCTGTACCTGTGCTTCCCAGCAGGCAGTGACTCACTGCTGGATAAGATCCAGAAAGCTGCAGAGGTAGTGGCCAGTGCTGTGCTTCCCCCAACTGAGCACCAGGGCATCCGTCTCCATGACAACCATTACCGGGCCGTAGTTGCGCCTTCTGCGCCCATAGAGGTGGCCGTGCCCGCGTGTGCCTATAACCTGCCTGCTCGTAGACCAAAAGGTGAGATGCTGGTGTGATGGAAACATGGGCTTAGGTTTCTAAATGGAAGGCTTGAATCTCACTACCGTGTGCGTCCACCACAGCGTTGACCCAGCGGTGCCCAGGGCAGGTAGGAGGCGGATGGGAAGAGACTGACAGCGGCAACAGCTCCTCTCACAACTCCTCTCAGGATATTGCCGCTAACAGCAGGGCCTCTGTGGGCAGCAAGTCAGCTGGCACTGGGAGCCAATCAGGCGCCAGTAGAGAGAGCAGTGGGGACCTATCAGAACGGTGAGTGGCAGTGTTAACATAAGATAAACCCCACATATTCTCCCTTTGTCCACATTATTGACATTTCTGTCTCATACGCTGTCTGCTGTCCAGGGTGGAAGCCTTGCAGTTGGGGGACTGTGGCCAGGAGATGGCACTCATCAGCAGACTGACTGAAGGATCCAGAGTTTTCCTGTCCAGAGAGGAAAGCCAGCACTTCATCAAAGAGTGAGAGCATCTAAAATCAGACTGAGAATACAGCTGCTTCTCCCTTTACGAACTATATTATTTGTCTATTTGACTGCTGATGTGATGTGATTTCGGTCTTTCTGTTGTCCAGGTGCTCCACTCTCAATTGTGAGGTTGTGCTGGAGTTGCTCTCATGCAAGCTTCAAGATCCCTCAAACACTGTTAAGATGGTAACAATGGATAGAATTCACTGAAGATCCAGGTTTTCTTTATGATGCTGTGTAATCCTAATACTCTTTGTTTTCCTCCAATCCTGCAGCGAGCACTGTGTGCTGTTTCCTGCCTCCTGACCTCCGACCTCCTCTCTCTGGAACAAATGTTTGGAGCTACACAACGGAGGCTCCGCCAGTTGAGTGAGGGGGCTCCAGGACCGGTGGCCAACAAAGCCACTAAGGTAGGAGAGGAATAAAGAGAAAGCTACACATGGTGAAGACTGATAGGACAGAACTAGATAATACTCAAAATGCTGTAATTTATTTGTTCTTATCTCCTCATACCAGATCCTGCGACAGTTTGAGGCTCTGATGGGTGGGTCTCCACACGCTCCAAGGCAGGATACAGCGAACAGCAGCCATCACGCAACAACTAATCAGCTTCCTACATCTACATACTCAGACCCTTTACTACCAACCCACTCTGCTGACAACACCAACCTCAACCACTGTCCACCTGACATCTCACCCAAAGCTGTCACACAACCACCAGATCATCCATCTTCCCCTTCCACTCTGGCCTCGGCCCAGGGAGACTCCCGAGGGGAGCTGATGAATGACAGCGATGAGGAGAAACTTTCTCCCATTCAGCAAGAGTTAGTTCAAAGCCAGGTAGAGCCAGTCAGGACTGCTGAGGCTAAATTAGTCGCTGAGGAATCCGAGCTTAACGCAGACTGGAGCTCTTCTCCTACCGCTGAGCCCCAGAGGGAGCAGCCCTGTCTGAGCAGACTGTCCCTGTTCAGCGGTATGGAGCTGGTGACCAAGGGGAGGCCCCTGTGTGAGAGAGCGCCAGACATGACGGACGACAGCTTAAGGGAGAATCCAGCTGTGCATAACAGTATCAACATCTGTAAAACCAGTGACAACGCTCTGTCAATTAGCAGCCAACCGGTATCAGCCTTCTCATTTGTCAACTTTTGACCAACGTTTTACAGCTGGAACTGTCGCACTTAAACCAATGATGTCATTGTGTATATCCTTTTCAGAAATCTATTTAATTTTATAAACTCAGATCAGATCTGTATGGTTATAACTATATATATATATAGACGGCATATTCACGTCATGTTAGGATCGGGTTTCCTGTTCTTATCTGTATATTGCCTCCTTAGAAGTTGTATTTAAGGAGCAGTTTGGGTCAAGAGACGTAGGACAGAGTATGGATGAGTGCCCTCATCTGTCATGGTTGTCATGACTGGTCTGTAAACTGAGTTGCTGTTTGTTGGCTGAGGTGTAATATCTGAAGAGTATTTCCCAGGAATGGTTGTATTAAATTACAGGTTATTATTGCTTTATCTCAGGATTCCTTTAAGCGAACTGAAACAACTCTTACGCCTCTGCAGCACTCCCTAAACCTCTGAGGGGAGAATCCCTCAATCTCTAATTTGCACTACAGTTGCTTTTCTTATGGACTCCTAAACCTACAAATTAGTTGTCTTCCATATTTTTTGGTACTAAGCAATTATGTCAATGTAAATGTTATGAGTGTTAGTTTACAAATTATTTATTATGTCTATCCTTAACATACCTGTGAGAGTGGCTGTAGAGTGCATGTCTACGATTTAAAACAGTTTGGAGAACTAATGGAAAAGTGAATTATTGAGATTTTCTGTGTGCATAAGTGAAGTGTGGAACTATGTGTGTTAAAACATCTACAGTCAGCATAATGCAAGATATCCGATTTCAGTTGCTCATGTCACCAAATAAAAAGGAAATTACCTTCATTATATCATTTCAGTTACATACTGGTGTTGAGTACTGTGGAATACAGTACAAACTACATGCCCAGATGGTACTCCAACCTGCTGATGCGTACAATGAACACTACTGATGTATTTTGTTTCAGTGAACACGAGCTATGCTGTTGGACAGGCTGAAGAACAATAAAACATGCTGTATTTTTGCGACAGCACTAACCACTACATAAATGAGTCTTGTTATACTGTACTTAATAGAACTCTAAAGACCTCCTTTCAGTAACGTTTTATTTCAATGTCAAATGATTTGGAAAATTACATAAAATATGAATCACTTTCACATCTCTCATTTTATTTGCAACACAGTGTGCTGGTCATATTAAACCATACAGAAACAAGTATGGCTGACAGGCTTACGACACACACACGATGTGTAAAAGGTTACAGAAGTAAACACATGGTTACAAATTGATTTAGAGAGTGTTTTCTTGAGGCTGTTTTTGTTAGAATTACTGTGCTGAGCATGACGCTGCCTGAGCTGCAGACTCCACTGCCTGCTCTCACAACTCTATAAATAGCCAGGGTCTAATCTGAGGTTGGACTTTGGTGGTGAGGCTCATGAGGAATCTTTGTTCCATTACCTTTAACTTACTGACCTGCCACACCAAAACATTATGGATTAATTTAGATAGTGAAAGTAACTGCAAATACAGCATTTACCACTTTGGTTAAAGAAAACAAATAAGGCCTAAAATGTTATTTGACTTGCTTGTTTTAATAATGCTCCTTGGGAGTGAATCCATTGGCCTCCATGAACTTCCTTTGTGAATGGGATCACTACAACTCCCTCTTCACAAATACAAACATGCGACTGACTTCCCCAGTCGAGAGTAAACAGAATGAGGAGTTATTGAGTAAAGTGCTTAGCTTTATTTAGTTTTGCAAGCACTTTGGATCATCTTCATCACACTTTTCTTGTGATTAGCACCAATGAAAATGTCCACGCATCAACGCACGCATGTAAAGAGAACGATACCTCTTTATAAAGTGCACAGGGTGCGTGCACACACACACAAACACACATACACATCAATACTGCACAGAAAACCACAGTGGCTGGGCCATGGAAAGGCGGATGTGCTTATGGTCTTGACAAATGGTACATAGTGAGGTGGGGATGAGCCTTTGCGCCCAAAATCTGTAAACCTCCCCACACGTCATCCCCTTCCCCCCTGACCCGAGTGTGTCGCTTGAGGCTTTCAAGGAGGAGCCACCGTGCCAGCAGTGTCAGCACTGATGGGCGAGGGACCAAAGGTCAGGAGAGGGGTCAGAGGTCACGGTCATGTTGAGCCTGGACGCCCTCTGGTCTGCAGACTACTGAAGTGCGCCTCCCTCAGGACTCTGTTGATGTAGTCATAGGAGACACTGCTGCCGTCGCCATGGAAACCATGCTGCAAGGAGCTAGCAGAGTCTTCAGGCTTTGGGCTGAGGGAGTACTGGGTGATGCGGTTGTTCTGGCTGTGTATGCATGGCCTGGTGGTGGCCACTATTGCTCTCTCTGGACTACTGATCCCATTACTGCTGTCGCTGCTGGAAGACTGCAAAAACAGAACAGAGATGGGCTCTGAAGTGTAGTTTCATGGATGGATGCAGAAGCTTTAAATAAAACATTCTGAGGTTTTCCTGATAGTGGTGCATTGCATGTGCAATGCAGAGTCACGTGTATTTATATGCATGATGCCAGATTGCTAATAAATGTCAATGGGCATTACATAAGCTAAGAGAATGAATGACCTTAATAGCAGAAAGCTTAATGCTCTACCAAAAGATGACTTCATCACACAATCAGATAAATCTGGGTAAACTTATATCTGTGTGATGGTCAAAAAATGTATGTAAAGATCAAGTCAGTCTCACCTCTGAGTCCAAATCGGAAACAAGCAGGCTGGGACCACCTCCTGATCTCTTGGCCTGGGGACTCAGCTGTTGGTCCTCCTCACTGTCACAACTACGGTGTCGTTTCCTGTGCAAAACAGAAATGGGAGGAACAGAGAGTATCGTGAGTGCAGTAGAGTGAACATAAAAGTGGAGGAAAAAATACAGTGTGACAGAAACGATGCAGGGTGGGGGGAGAGAGATTGGGCGGAGAAAGGCAGAGTATCTAAAAGAGAAAACATGAAGAGGAACCAAAAATAGCAACTCACACTCAGGCAGTTACATGATCAGATATGTGGCACTCCCATTATGAGAATACATTGATCAACATACACATACACAGACTGAACATACAGTGTGGATATTACATTGTCACAATGAATTGTCTAGGACATTGTCTTGGCTTTTGATAGTTGTAATAGTGATCTACGTTACAATAAAGTGCTACAATTATTAGGTGTAATATTTTATGTGTAAAAAAAAAAAGAAGAAGGTTATTCTAGTTACCTGTTGTCAGTCAGCATTTCTGCAGTCTTGACGGGTGTTTTTTTGTTTTGTTTTTTGTTTTTGGCAAAGGGAAAGGTGGACCCTCCTTGTGAGCCGGACTGAGATATCTTATTTTAAAGCTTTGGCTATGTTACAGCTCCACGACCATTTCGCAGAAACTCAGTATGACAAGCTCCCTCTCATCTCATCAGAAAGTCATTGATATGTGTGAGTGAGCAATCTCCAGCCGGCTGAAACACAGCTCGCCGTAGGGTAGCAAAAACCTCAGCTATGGGTTAGTTCCGACCTGTCACTGCTCCAAGTCCAGTCCGCCCTGCCTACGCCTCGGCGGTGGTACAAACTGCTTCTCGGCGTTTGAACGATAACCAGCTAACTACCAGTTATTCTCGTTTACGCCGTGAAATCTCGAGGAACTCCGGGAATGACAGAAAAGGGAGCAGCTAGCCTGCTAGCTGCTACCGTACAACGTTATATACCAGCTACTTGTCAAGCTAACTACTTTAGCTAACTAATGCTGCACTATGCTAACTGAAAGTTCTTCCGCTTTCGTATTCCGTCCACTTGCCGTTAATTGTGGTTAACTGTTGCCTGTACTTGACAGCAGCCCGACGCTAAAAAAAAAAAACTCAACGAGTAAAGTTGAAACCACATTAAATGTTAATGTTGTCCGAGCCGAGGTAGGATAAGTGACAGTCCGGAGTCGTTAGGTGTGCCATAGTAGTGAGCCTGTCTTCTTCGCTTGTCGTCAATGTCGCCTCAAGTGAAGAGCTCCACCCCTCTGTTTACCTGACGTCATCAGATGGAATACAAAACTGAAACGGCTTCCGGTATCAACTCCATGGTGACCTGCCTGTCAACATCGGGGCAAATAATCCGATTTGTGTGTTTATTAAGTTTATACATTTATCGTTAAAGGGAGATTTTGATAGAGCGCCGATGAAAGGGGGTTTCCTGTCGTCTAATGTGTGCTGCTGACTGGAGTTTATGAGGCTATATTGTATCTGAAATAGATGTACGGCGTCTTTCCAGGCGGGTTTTTACCATTTATATCTACATACACACTATTTGTACTTGTGTGGTCCTCAGAGCATGTTAGTACACTGCAATTTAACAAATATTTTGTTAATTTAAGTGTCTATTTTGTATACTCTCAAGGTGCTGTAGTTTATTATTTCTTTTTTTAAATTTATTATAACTTCTTTCTATCCAGTACATAGTATATATACTGTAGTATACTGTGTTTATATATATACTACAATATACTGTAGTATATATTATAGTATATATATATATATATATATCTGTAACATACATTTGGCTGGATATAACCAGGACACATTTAATCTTCAGAATATGTCACAATATCAGATTTTCACTTCATGACTATTGTGGCTAAATTAATTCACAATAACTATATTATCATGATATTTATAGAAAATGTGACAAAATAATAAAAATAATAACATTATTAGTCAAATTCATCAGCAAATGGATTACCAGCACCTACTATGTTGGAGTGTGAACTACTAAGTGAGAACTAAAAGAAACAGAAATTATTTGGGAGGCAACAGATAGTGTACATGATATTATCATATGTGAATTATTAACATAATATCAATATTTCCCCCTTTAAATGTCACGGTCATTGTCAATACTGGTATAACCCTGATTCAGAATACATTTTTAATTGTTACTTTTGAGCACATTTGGTCATAAGCATCCACAGGTAGCCATGATAGCAAATCTATGTTACAAAATTCAACTTGACCTAATCTGTAACCATGGTGATGCTGTATATCTGTCCCGCAGATGAAGGTGATCCAGCACTCTGTGGAGACACTGCAGACAGCTTTGGTCTCCAATCGTCAGGACTTGGCGAAACTTTACAGCAAGTACGCAAAAGAAGAAAGGCGTCTCTTGGAGGAAGGATTCCACCCAGGGCACCCAGGTTCCCTTTTCCAACCCATCACGTTGCACTCTGACTCAGACTGGATTAATGCTCACCCCGAGGAGCCTCAAGACTTCCAGAGCTTCTACAGAGACCCTTACCGCAAGACCCCGAATGCAAGCCAGAATACTATTTATATTCAAACCATAGGTGGGTATGTTTGTGTGCGTGGTGAAGCTAGAGTGTCTGTATTCCTCTGTCCTTGTCAAGTATGTGGGTGTTTGTGAAAATGTTCTCACAGCATTAGCCCTGATAAGATGGGCATTTTTTAAGGAAAGAACATGTAAGTATGTGCATATTCGCTATTTTCTAATGTTGGTATAATAACATATAGTCCATGAGCACTTAAAATGCATGCCACATCATGTCCCTGAATGACCAAAAATGACAAGACATGCAGTAAATCACATTCTACATTGTGGGCTACACAGATGGATGAGACATGGACAGCATGTTACAGGGTTGGCAGGCCTTGATTCTACACTATATTTTTTGTAGGCTCCTTTGGGGAGGCAGGGCCCCAGACAGACCAGTATATGGAGTGGCTCAGAGAATACTGCCAGGCCTTCTTCTATGGGCTTTCTGTCAAGTTTCTGCCGGCGGTTACTGTGGCTAAGACAGGATGCTCTTTCAGGGTCAACAGTAACTCGCACAACCTTCAGATCCTCACTGGTGAGTACCTAAAGCTAGCCTTCATTTTACCATATCTATTGGGAGGGTTTTGGCCACTTTCCATGTCGAAATGCAAGAGAATGAGGGGTAAAAATAAACATTTTGTTGTGCAACCTCGTGTTGTTTAATGATAAATACATTTCCTCAATCATTGAACCTTAAATTGTACTGATCTCCAACTGGAATGTGCATGATATTGCTTTATTATTGTTGTCTTCTGGTAAAATGTAGGTGACCTGCTGCGATTCCTGGGGAATAAGAAACCAAAAGATGCTTTTTGTATTGTTGGAATCACAATGATTGACCTGTACCCTAAAGACTCCTGGAACTTTGTCTTTGGACAGGCTTCTCTCAGTATGGGTGAGATTATTAAGGATAGATACTACCACACTTATTAATATTCCACTGTGTTTCAACACACTTTAAATCTGGTGTTAAAAGACCCTGAAATGTCCAAGCACAATATTAAAGAAGAGAGAATTAGTAAACATTGCTTCATCCACTATCATCAGTAGTCTCTGATGGTGTAATGTCTTTGAGCTGCCCCTAGATGGTGCTAAAATGATTTACATACAGTCCTGGAGAAGTTTTGTCATCATCACTGTTGTTTCTCAACTGTGCTTGCAGGAATGGGTGTTTTTAGCTTTGCCAGGTATGATGACAACTTCTACAGCAGAAGTTATGCTGGAAGGCTAAAGAAATCATTTAAGACAAAGCAGGGGGACTACTCTGTGTTTGACGGATATTACACTCCCCCCATCACCAGCACTCTGCTGCTTCGATCCTGCAAGGTCTCTAACAAACATGCTCCTCCACTAACTCAATTTTGGTACTCTGAACTTTTGAGTGGTCTTGCCAAAGGTCTTCCATCCTGTTAGGTTTATCAATACTGCTGATAAAAACATTCAATACTGCTGTTTTTTTTTGTTATCAGGAAATCCTAAAGTTAAATATTTCTTTGCAGACAATGACCCATGAGATTGGCCATATGTTTGGAATAAAACATTGCCAGTGGTTGAACTGTGTCATGCAGGGTTCAAACCACCTAGAGGAGTCTGATCGTAGGCCCCTGGATTTTTGTCCCATCTGCCTTCGCAAACTACAGGTCGCAATCGGCTTCAAAATAGCTGAGAGATACAAGGTAATCTCTTCGTGTTTTACGTAGAAAACACAAAGGAACTCAGATTGAAAGATATTTCACGCAGAATCTGACAGAATTTTAATTATAGATAGATCAGTTACAGTAATATATCAACTTTTTCAAGTAATTTGTTGCAACGTGTTATTGTTTAGAAATAATGAATCACAGAATTAATGAATTAATCATTAGTCAAACTCCAATCTAAAGCCAATAATGAAAGAATCATCTACACAAATTGTAATGACTTAAAGGTTGATTACACATCACTGGAATGAGCTTGAATATAACAAAGATTAAGAATTTAAGTTATTTTAAGACATATCTCCCTTCATTCATTGTGATCAATGCTGATCAAAAGATCAATTTAGCACAGACACAATCAGATGGATTTATGTTTTGTGAAGTGAATGTTGCTCTGTGTTCAACAGGCTTTACTGCACTGGATGGAGGAGGATCAGAGTCAAACATCTGAGCAAGAGGAGGCCTCTGCCTGTCAGTCTGTGCTCCACTTTCCCAAACCCACTGAAGCCTTTCACACATCCAGACTGTGGCTGCGCAGGTGTCTGGACATACTGGGGAAAAAAGATGAACTATAGTACTTGTCCATAAATCTGGGTAACACTGGGAAATGAATGTAACAGGCCTGACTGTCAAATTCTGACTTGACCGAATTTTAATTTTGTTTACGACTGGTAAGCCCAATTTCATATATATTGGGACATATCTGGGAGACTGTATAGTATATATAAGTATATATTGAGTTGTATTTGGGCCCCTGTGTTTTGACACTCTGATATCAGCTTAATATGTTTCTTTTTAAATAAAAGATGCAATATGTAGGTAACAACATATTTTTACTTCAAAAGGGTACAAAAAAATATAAAAATATTTTAATATTTTATTTTATATTTATATAAAAAACAAGAAAACACTACATCTGATTGAGAAGTTCAAATCACACTTGTTTTAATGCAATTGAACATTTTACTACAAAAATAGTTTAAGTCTGACATATTCTGTCACAGTGCATCATCAACTTGGGTTTGATTAAAAAGAAACACTTTCAATCATGTTATCTCCTGAGCTTTATGTATTTACGTTACAGAATCTGTGCAATTTATTGTTCTTGCAGCTACATTTGCATCAGTTTTCCTGGCTATCATTATCATATAGATCACCAGAAGGTAAATAGTTCATCAAGTATCAGTGTTGCATCTTGTTTCTAGAATATCTAAAACTAACATGGTCCATTTGAATACATCCATACTTCCACATCTCACACTGTTGTCCTTTAAAGCGAGACTATATCAAAAGTTTACTCACTTAAAGCTAATTTAATAATATGTTCTTTAATTTTAACAGTACTGGCTCTATAAAAACACTGTTTGGTACATAAATCATGTAAGGCACAATTGATACATACGTGGTCTAAAAGTTCTAGTTTGCTCTCAGAGCCCAGATCTACAATGGCAGATCATCAGATCAGATCATAAACACTTAATATTGGTCTTTATGTTCACTGTATTCCTTTCACTTCAGCACTTGCTAGCAGTAGTCTTTACATAGTCTTTTACCCTCATATGGCTTGACCCTTTTATTACGTATATCCTACTGTTATCAGCTCAAGCAAAACGTACAATCCCCTGGACATCTCTTGTGGCCTCTGCCTTATCCTGGACCATGTAGTCATCTATCTCAGAGCAATGCTGCGGACTGGCAATGACCTGTTTATTCACTGCACTCTGTTCTTCTGAGTCCAATTTCCTTTCATGTATGTCTTCAGCGCGTTTTGAGTCCCTTTTCCTGCAGAGTAAACCTCTCTTTGCAGGTTTTACTAAACCCAGGAACACGGCACTAAGTGCCATGCCGACTGCACAGGAGTAGAAGGCTGATCCGTAATTCCGAGTCACATCCACCAGCACACCTGTGGATAGAGAGTGATTTAAAAGAAAGCATTAAAGGGGCACTCCTTTACACATCAAGTTCACTTATTTTCTCAACTTGGGTTTGGAGACTATACATCTTTTACATAACGCCTGCATAACAAACAGTGTTTACAAGACATTTATTAGACAGGAAGTGTCTAAACTAAGCTAAGCCCAGTTCAGACCGAAGATTTGCGATGAGAGAAGTCGGAACTTGCAACCATTTGCACTGCGCCAGTTTACACCAATGCAACTAGACGAAAGGAGGTGTACTGTCTCCATAGCATCGACTCTCTGTTGTCTGTTCTAAATGCCAACTTTTCAGACTTTTTTGTATCACCTCTAAAATGGATTATAATCTGCTGCCATTTTGATAATAAGGTCATTTTTCCATTTTCAGTATTGGTCTCAGAAATCCCAAACCAGTTGGGCACTAATCTAAATCATAAAGCATCCTTGTGTAGTAGGAAGGTACAAGCTGTAGTAAAGTGAAACCATAGTAAACTCCTCATTACAAGATAACTCTTACCTCCAAGTGGGGGTCCAGCCAGCCCAGCAAAGCTTTGTATGAAAACATAAACACCAGCAGCTGAAGACATCCTCTCTATGCCCACCACGTCATCCTCAGCCAGCATGGGGATGTGGGTGCACGCCAGGGTTCCCATAAAGAAACCATACAAAGCACAGCAAACAACCAGGCCATAGAACTCCCTAACCAAAGTAAATCCCACCAGGTCTGCAGTCATTGCAATCACACACGCCAGAAGCACAAGCAGCTTCTTCTTTACTAACTGCTTCCGTGATAGGATCCATCCAACAGAGAATCGGCCAATGATTTCAGCCACAGCCATGGTGGAGAGCATGTAGCTGGCGCTGTCCCGCTCCACACCTCGACTCACACTCAGTTCAATGATGTAGAGTGGAGGGGCAAAGAAGCCGAGCGTGGCGAACAGTCCGAACAGAGAATAGAGAATGAAACTGCACTCTCTGAGGATGGAGAAATCTAGAAGTTTTGAGTTCTTTGCCTTTTCATCATCTGTTTTCATTTCCTCATCTTTCATCAATTGTTTCTCTTCATCTTTACTGTTTTTCTCCTCTGTTTCAGACTCTGTAATCTTTGCCATACTGTTTTCCACAGATGTCTGTTCTGTTTCTAACCTTGCTTCTTTGTCCAGTAAAGTCTTTTCCTCTGCGCTGCTGCTGTCTGTGTCCTTTAGAGATTGAACACCAGAGTCTCCGGTGCTCACAGAGCCTCTGGTTAGCTCATTGTCCAGACTGTGGGAGGTATTTTGTGCATGTGCATTGCTTGTCATAGAGTCTTCTGGGTTTGTGCCCTCTAGATTCTGTCGTGTACTGAGGGCCTCCAGTTCCTTCGGGGATGATAAGTCAGTCTCTGTTGCAGGGTTCGCTCTGGATTTGATAATGATTGGCCGGAGCAGAGCACCACAGATTATGATGATGCTTTGTAAAGCTCCTATCACTGCCATGCTGTGTCGCCAGCCAATATGGTCCCTCAATGCGGAAAAGGCTGCAAGGCAAAAGGAGGTATTTAGTGAGTGTTCATCTGTAAAGCTGCATATGTGGTATTTAGCATGACATGTTCAAGATCCGACTTGCAATGGAATTGTATCTAAAAGAAACAGAGGACTTGAGTTTGGAGTCTTCAGAGGTACATAAAGCTCTATATTAAAGGAAAAGGCTAGCAATGGACTAAAACAACACTGCCTCTCAATACCTGTCTGAGGCTCTTAGCCAAAGCTCATTGGTTCCCATTATAAGCTTGTCTTAAATGTATAGTTTGAGTTTAAAAATACGAGTAAATAGCGTATTTGTTGGGGACTATTTTCAGCCACACTCTAGTGAGTATTTATGGCAGCAGGGCGGTGTTTGTGGGATTGACTCTAAATAAACTCAATGTGATTGATGTGTTTTTCAGAATTTTTATTTATTATATAATATTATAATATTTGATTTTTAGTCTTTTCTTGCCGATTGTTGACAGTAAGAAAAATCCTTTAAATCTGTATAAACAAAAAATATTTCCTTGAGCCTTCCTGTCCTTTAATTAAACAAGTCACTCTGCCTTGAAGAGTTGAAAACTCAGGAACAAATATTTAAAAAAATAATAATTAAAAAATTATTTTGATCAATAAATAAAAGTCTCTACACAACATTGGTTACATGCTCTGTTTCTGCTTGATAAATAAACATTCAACAGTCTAGTTATACCCAAGAGGACTAGGTCACAAAGAGAAGTGTGCATTGCTCCTCTAAGCTATATAATGTAAATAACAGAACCATGTCAGAACCAGATACACAAATAAATAAAAATAAACAAAACACAAAAAATTTCTCCCATTGTACGCATGAAACATCAGTGGAAGCTCTGGCACTCACCTGGTGCCAGAGCAAACATGGACAGGGACTCTCCAGTGGAAGCCACAGCTGTGACCAGAGTCCGTCGACGGGTAAAGTACTGGGAAAGGATGGTCACAGTGGGCAGGAAGGTCAGACTGTAGCCCAAACCTGCCCAATACAAAAAAAAATGTAAACTCTAATTTAGCTAATTTTTTTTAGACATGGCTAAAAACACATTTAAGGCGCACAGAGGGAGACAAAGAATTCAATACCTGCAACTAATCCATAGGTGATGTACATTTGATTGACGGAGCTGGTAAAGCTGGTGGCAATAGTACCAGTGGAAATAAGTAATCCTCCAATCATTACAACAAGTTGGAATCCAAAGCGGTTAGTCATCACAGAAGAGAGAGGACCTGAGGACAAACTGTTGTTTAGTGAAGACTACGGTACAGTAATTCTCACAACTTCTTTGTCATGTCTATAGTATTTGTACTTTATTTCACTTTGCAGGGTTGCACCAACTTAACTTCACCAGCTGTACTCACCATTAAAGGTCATGACAAACACGCAGATGGAAACAATCCAGGAGACCCTACTGTTGGGCTCCCCAAACTCCATCATTAGGTCCTGGAGGAAGATGCCAAAGCTCTTGATGATGCCATAGGTTAAGACCTCCACAAAGAAGAAGGCCACAGCCACCACCCATCCCCAGCCTCCGTCAGGGGCCTCTGGGTACACATTGGGTCCCAAGAAACGTGCCCCCTTGGCTCCACACAGTGCCATGCCCTGTAAAGATATAACGTTATTTATTATGTATGTGTTTTTGTAAATAGTGAACCTGTTAAAGTGAATTAAGTTTTTTGGTCAGCAATTTAAAAAAAAAATTTAAAAAGTGCATCCTTTGACCTGTTGACTAACATTAAAGTCATGCAGTACCTTATATACACTGTCAATACTCACTCAGTACTTCTTACTGCAGAGCGCGCTTAATTAAACGTGAACGCACAGTGCACACTTTAGCTTAGCTTCCTCACAACACTGACAATTAAGTTACAAGCAGTGAATTATGTAAGTTAGCTACAAATGAAACTAATAATTCTTGTTTTACTTACAGAAACAACATACAGAGACATTTATAATCTTAAATAGGAAACAGTTTTGCGAGTTCAGCCGCATTATCGGTAAGTTTAAGTCGAAGAGTTACCGAGTTTAGAACAAGATTAGCTAGCAACAACAGCTAACAAACATCAAGAAGATGGACTCACTCTGCGCCTCAAGGGTTTGTTCTGCTCCTCCTCTCAACAGAGAAAGTTTAGGTTAAATGTGGTAACCCTGGTCCTAGACTTCAGTTACAGAAACTGAACTTAGTGGCTAATAAATATAAAGCTGATATGATCTTATTTCCCCTCTTTTATGTCCGTCTTTGTTTGGCAGTGTGCCTTTTAAATGAGGTGGTCCTGTGCATCCTTGCGAGGCAGCTGTTTAATGTACAAACACTGTCAGTGCTTGCCAAAGATGGAAAGGAGTAGAAGGCAGAAGTAGTTTGATGTTCAGCCCCTCTTTGCACAAGGTTGGGCCTAATCAATTATTAATGCAAAAGCACATTTGGGGGCACAGAATCAGGTGTTTCTAGAATTTGGTGCATCAGTAGCTTTAGTTTTAGGAACAGGTCATTAAAATGACCCTTTAGCTTTAATTCTGGATAAACAGCATTGGGATGGGATATGTTGAGCCCTTCATGAGTACAATGTCACAACACTTTATAATTTGTCTATGTCGTCCCTTTTGGGACTTCACTTTTACTTTTGCAGCACAGCTGATGTTTATTCTGGGTAAACATGGTGTTTTTCTAACCTTTAAACAACAATGGACAAAAGAATGATACCCAACCAGAAGCTCAGTCCCATATATTGAATTTGAGCTAAAGTTAAGATCATACATTTTACAGCCTTGACGTAATATAGAATAAATCCCATAGCAGGAGACATAAAATCACATTGTTTTCTTACCTTATTTGCATTATTTCCAATGTGCAGCATTGTGTGTAAACCCAATTTTTCAACTACTGACTTCACATATTACACGCCATACGTTGGAAGACAATCCCTACTCTGTCCATACACCATTTACTCCACCGGCTGTAATGTTTACAGTAACATAGTTGCTCTGTATGTTACTCTGGTTACTATTACTACAGCTGTATGCACACCTATATTGACCCATGCACAAACAGAATAGCCGCCATGGACAAATATAGTGAGTAATTAAGTGTACTAAAACTATGTGTGACTGTTAAACTACAACAAATAAAAAATTCTACACTTAAAAGATGAACATTACAAAACATCCAAGCATGTGGATCACTGGGTACATACATGTAAATATTAACTTACTGGGTTGGTAGCTGAAAGTTCTGGAAGATATTAGTTTGTGGACCTCGAGTTAAGACTAATATGTCAAAGTAAGGTCAAAAATGACCACACTAAGTTAGAAAACCATGTATATTTTTTATGGTTAATTGGATTATTCCATAACTCACAACAATTGACAACTGTCTTTTAACTTAACTAAGTTAATTCAAGTAAATCCAATGCATCAACAAAGGGATATGATGGACATTAGAGTTTAAATAGTACTATATAGTTTAAGTAGTGGATAAATACTGCTATCAGAATCAGAATCAGGAATACTTTAATAATCCCAGGGGGAAATGACTTAATATCAAACAGTACACAGTTTGGATTTACTTTTATACTTCTTCTTTTTGTATCCAACAACAAACTTAAAACTTAAAGTTACAGTGACAATAAGTATTATAGAAAGATGTATTAATTCCATTATATACATAAAAATTTTCTTCAGCTAAATGAAGGAGAAACATTAGAGGAAGAAGATATAATCTATTACAACCCTGCTTCCTTGTATTGGCCTTTAATTGGAAATCTCTGCCTGCCAGGATCCAGAATCAAAATACGTTTTGTTTTGTTAAACACCTTTTAATTGGTTTTAAACAGGTCAATTGTGTTTTTTAATTAAGAGGGGTGGGGAGGGGGTGGTCAGCCGTATGGTCCGTCCTCATGCGGCTGACGCAATGCTCTCGGTCCAGCGGCGGCTCGTGTGGTCGGTGTGACTTTGTTAACAGCAAACACACACTCTGTAAGTACTTCAACGTCGCCTGTTTGAGCCATATATATATATATTTAACTGAACACGTATTGAATGTGTGTCTTACCATTTCCAGTTACTCTACTGAAGCAAACGTACTCGTACGTACTGAAATGACCTGTATTTAAGCAGTGTGTCTCACCTGTGTGTCGCTACTTTCAGACGGAAACAGTCCGTCCGTCGCCCGACTGTTGCTGCTGTAATCCCGCCGGTGTCAATGGACGACTGACCTAAACGTACTCGTATTCTCACGTGCATATGTCCCCAAACACACAAACACGTGGAGACACACTACACACACGGACGAACCGGCTGTCTGACACTAGTTCGCATTCATAAACGCCACCGTCCCCACAGGCAACTGGGGGGGGGATGAGGAGGTTTAAAGAGATCTGGTTACAGCCAGTTCTTGCCCCACATCCGTCTGTAGACTGCCCCGCAGCCCCCTTTCACTGTGGGGTGCAGGGTTGTTTAGGAAAGGCAGGGTTCATGGCTGGGGTTTGAGAGGCTGGAAGAGAGGCAGGGTTTGTGGGTGAATGTTGCTGTGGAGTCAAACTAATATGTGTGGAAAACTCTTAAAAATCTAACGAAACATTGCATATATTTGACAGAAAGTATTTTTTCCCCCTCCATATTTAAAATGTAATTTAGCATTATTAATCAAGGGCTGCTTACAGGCATAGATTCCCCTAGTTAATGCAGTTTGACAGTCCAGTCATTCAGGGCCATACAATATGTTGAGTCTTTTCTGCTTTTAAGTGATAACAAATATGTTCTGTATTTATTTTGTCCCTGGACCCCAAACATACCCTACATACACACACCTGAAGAGTTTCCAAAGGTGTTACTTTCCTGTATTTGTTGTCTCTGTTTCTTGTGAGAATTTGGTTGACATACAAGTTTAACTTGATATACTGGTGTGAGGAAGAAGAAAGGCATTAACAGAGACACCTACCTGCTTCTGATTTTATCACTGTCACTAAGTTTACATCGCCTCAAGAAACCAGGTTGAGCAATGGCTGTATTTTTCTTAACCTCTGATTACAGTTTTCTTGTTCACATGCCGTTTAAGAAATATTGGTACTACAGAAATGTTTCTAAATGATTTATAACCTTTTGAGTTGTATCAGTTCTAGTCTAAATAATGTGTTTAGAAGTATAAACTCATTATCATTAGCAAATCCCCCCTCTTTCAGTCTAAACTAAACTGACCATGCAACATATTTAACCTCATATCTGCAACAAGCTATTGTAGTTAACAGAGCTGTGTTTTCCTTGCCTACAAAAAGTATACAGAGTGTACAGAAATGGGATTTGTGTGGACAATTGCACCCCAGTTCCATCATTTTCTATACTGTATATGGTACAAGCTGAACTTGTAGAAGGGAATAATGAAGTCTTTCAGCCACAGAACATAGTTGCCAAACACCGTCCCCATTCCCTCACTCACTGTCATACCTACATTCATCATCTACATCTGCTGATTTTCATGCCAGCTAGGGTTTAAATGAAACCTATGAAACCCCTTTGCAGATTTTGACCAAAAATGGTGGAGGGCTTCATTCCACTCCTTCTGTCTGGGATGCTGATGTGTGGTCTGCTTCTCCGAACGGTGTCCCAACATGGAGCCAATGTTGATGAGCCCAGTAAGAAGCCCAATTTCATCATTATATTGGCAGATGATATAGGCTGGGGAGACCTGGATGTTAACCAGCCTGAAGAGAAGACAAACAACACACCTTATCTCAACCTGATGGCTGAACAAGGACTAAGGTAGAGAATTTATGAATTAATTTTATACCTGATCTGTTATGTAGCACTAAATTCTATGTCATATGATCAAAACCTTTTTGATATCAGTCTTAAGGGCTTGTAGTTTAAGTGAATGCATTAAGGTAAAGGTTTGGGATGATGAATGTTTCATGGTATTTCAGTCTGTGACATGATGGAGTGAATGACAGGATATTGTCCATGCTCTCTCCTTCTGTGACTCTTTCAACTGTCAACCATGTGTCATTTCTTCTTAAAATGGCTTCACTTTTTCCAGATTGACAGACTTTCACTCTCCAGCCTCAACCTGTTCCCCATCCCGTGCTGCCATCCTGACTGGCCGCTATGGCCTAAGAAACGGGGTGACTCATAACTTTGCTGTGGGCTCTGTGGCCGGTCTGCCTCTGTCTGAAGTCACCCTGCCCCAGCTACTACAGAAGGCAGGATATTACACCGCCATGATCGGAAAATGGCATCTTGGCCACAATGGACCATTTGGTCCAACTAACAGAGGTAAGTGGGAGCTTGACATTAATACCCCCAAACCCCCAGGGGACCCAACTAAACACAAAAGGCAGGAATTTTCATAGAGATCTTTTCAGCCTAAAGCTCAATCAATAGAGATTGGTTTTGGATATCAACTTTTTTTTTGCTTAAAGGGATGAACAAATCAAACGTGAAGAGCAAAACAAACCCTATTCCAAGCTACTGTTAACTTTAGCTTCTGTACCCTATTTGGTATCCTTTGGTAAACATACAGTATAAGAAAACAACCTTTTTGTAAACATATTGTTGAGATTAAATAAAGTGATCTGAAACCTTGGTAAATCCTTTGAGGAAAGTGGCCCACTAGAGCCACAAGCTATAATTATGATCATTTATAGAAGAGTAAGATGTGAATAGGAACAGAGGGTATATGGGTTATATACAGTTGGTATATACTGACAAAAAGAATATAAAAAGGTTACAGTCCAACCTTGAGGATCCACAAAACAGCAGCAGTACAATCAGTAACAGACGCTTGCTGAGACAAAAATCCAGTACAAGCTTTTATTTATCAGCTTCAAATGTTATAAAAATGCAAAAATATTTTCATATGCCACCTAAAACAATTAGATATGAGCTAACACACACACACGCTATTTTATTGCACAACACTGTATCTTTCCCGTTCAGTGTTATGGCGTCAGTTTTTCGAGGACGTTCCAGCCACATGCAGTGTGTGAGCACATTCATCGTCCTCGCTGCAGGAACAGACTACACACAACAAAGTCCTTGCAGCTGCGGTCTTGTGAGACAACAGACTTGGTCCTGACTTTTTGCTTACAGGCTACAGCTGACTCAACACTCACCCCCCACTACCGCTCACCCGTCAGCCACCCGGTCAGCCCCTTACTCATTCCTTTCGTGCGTCGAAGTCTTCCTCCTACACTTCACCTCAAACACCCTCGACCTTTGGATCACGTTATATTTGTAAGCTTGTGCAGCAAGATACCAACATGTGATCCACACTTTAGGACAATGGCCAAACATTACTGCAATATGGTCTGTACTTGGCTTTGTGCTACTACACGCATTGTGCCTTCATAATAAAGTTATTCACTTCAGCTGTAGTTTTGCTTAATATATTTGTCCTAATAAGAGGATATGTCCTATGTCAGAAGAAGCAGAATCAGTTTCTTATTTGTATTGATAAAACACTGTACTTGTACAAACATGATTCTTCTTTGTCTACTGTCTACTGGACAGATGGGTAACAACAAGTCATTGCAGTTACATTTATGTTTATTGTCTCTTCGGCAGGTTTTGACTACTACTTAGGTATTCCTTACAGTAATGACATGGGCTGTACTGACATACCTGGATATAATTTGCCACAGTGCCCTCCCTGTGACTCTTCTGGACCTCAAGTGATCAGGTCTGCTCCTACTTTAACAAATATTACACACTCAGGCCGTAATGAAAGTTCTCCTGACAAATGTTGTTTCTTAAATAATGTAAGACTGAGTGTATGACATCATTATCGGGGGGGGGATTAACTAGTATAGCTTGGTCTATTTACGTCTCTCCATCCTGGTATTGGCACTTTATATTTTAAAAGACATGATATTTGTGTTGCTGATTTCTTGACTTTACAAGAAGTTTGGTTTCTTAGTAAAACCTAGATTGGTGAGTTTGATTGTCATATTTCTGTGTATGGGAAACCATAACCAGCTTATGATGTACCACAAACGCTGCTACCTAGAGCTGTACGTATGGCAAATAATATAAGTGCTTCTTCCCTGATGAGGCCCTACACTTCCCTAACTAATTCCAAACCCTGTAATTACTTAATAGCCTCCTTTACACAAACACCCCCATACCATTTACGATCTTATTATGCTCTATTGTTCTCACGGTCTAGACTGAAGAGGAGTGTACATGGAGGCTGTTATTCCAAAGTGGGCCTTCCTCTGATGGAAAACAGCAGCATTGTGGAACAGCCGCTTGATCTGTGGACACTAACAGAACAATATAAATCCACTGCAACCAGGATCATACAGAATGCAAGGTATAATATATACCAAACATACACAAAGTACAGTGAGAAATGTATATTATGTTGTCATTATGTATGGATACAGCACAATAATACATTATCATCATCATCTTTCTCATATTTCCTCCACTACAGTCTATGTATGGAGTAATAGGGATGTGTGTGTGTGTGTGTGTGTGTGTGTGTGTGTGTGTGTGTGTGTGTGTGTGTGTGTGTGTGTGTGTGTGTGTGTGTGTGTGTGTGTGTGTGTGTGTGTGTGTGTGTGTGTGTGTGTGTACAGTATAATCATTCACAAGGTGGCACTGATTACATTTCTGCATATTAGATTAAAAAAGAAAGCATGCTCGATGTTGCTGGAAATCATATTGACAGAACGATGTGACCTAAAATTCCTGAATGTTTCTGTTGGAGTTGGAGATGTTGACAGGGTGCTATGATGCAAATACACTGGGAATTAATGGTCCTCAAGGGTGTGAGCACAGTTTTTACTGAACCTATTTGTGCAACCTGTGTGTTTGAGCCCATCACACTCTGATTCCATAGAGAGTAAACTTCTCTCTCTTGTGTCTGTATGTTGTCCACTGATCTGGCAGCCAGTCAAGAGTGTGCCTCTCTACAAACAGTGTGTATGAGGGTGAAACTTGAGAACTCAAATTTGATATGGTCTGGAAGAGACAGCTGAGGAAGTGAAACTTTGTCAATAGAGAGATGAAACACTCACCCAAACACTTTTAACTAGATTGGAAATTATTTTAACAACTTGCCAACCTGTATCATTCAGTTACAAACAGGCATGTTCACTGTAACTGCAATGTCTGTATATATTACAGACAGAACTGTGTGTGTATGTGTCTGTGTAAAAGGCAACATGCCTTCATGCTGTGCAGGGTCATGTGAACTTGTGCAGCGGTTGTTGTCACATGCTATCAAGACCCAACCAACAGTATGCAGCTTTCTTTCAGCGAGGTCATTCAGAGTGACTGTTGCTCTGATACAGATATGTCACAAAGTTGGAAAGTCCACATTCCTACATAAGGGAAATGTCAACATGGACTGGAAAGTAGAAAACATGCTCCAGTGTGGACATTCATACCCTATGATTGCCACATATTGTTTCCAACATGATTATATTCACAAACTATACTGCCATTTCAGCAGTGTTTAACTTTAAAACCATCAAAGTACTGCAAAAAGTCACTGAACATTAGCAAATAGTTAAGATACAATTATTGCATCATTGTCAGATTGTTGTTTCTTTGTGTTTCAAAGCTTGACCATGAGTGAACATGGAAACCAGTATGTGATTGGATACCAGTCTCCTTTTTTGCTTATACATAGATATGCTTTTAAGAAAATACTTAATGCATTTGTCAGTATAAGTTGTCTGACTTGTCTCTGCAGGGAGCGAGGACAGCCCTACCTCCTTTATATAGCGTTGGCTCATATGCACGTTCCTCTGGCCCCTCCACTCCTTCCAGATGCTTCTGCCGGTCCTCCAGAGGACGACAAGGTGTACACCGCCAGCTTGCAAGAGATGGACAGCCTTGTGGGGGCAGTAAAGAGTGCTTCTGATGACGCAGACAAAGACAATACTCTCATCTGGTTCACTGGTTAGTCAGCTGGATGGAATATGTTGTTTCTTCTGCAATACCAGTGTAATTATTATCCTAAAAGGGCCTAAAACACAAAAACACAGTCGTGTGTGTGTGTGTGTGTGTGTGTGTGTGTGTGTGTGTGTGTGTGTGTGTGTGTGTGTGTGTGTGTGTGTGTGTGTGTGTGTGTGTGTGTGTGTGTGTGTGTGTGTGTGTGTGTTTGTGTTGTGTTTAGGTGACAACGGACCTTGGGAACAGAAGTGCCAGTACGCAGGAAGAGTAGGACCTTTCATGGGAAAATGGCAAACCAACAGAGGTATAACAACGAAAACTCTTTCCATGTACGCTTTATGACATGACATAGTGGTACATCTTATTGCTGTCAAGCCTCATATTCCTAAAGTGGTCATTTGCCTGTGTGTAAGGTGGAGGTTCAGCTAAGCGGACCACCTGGGAGGGAGGTCACAGAGTGCCAACAGTAGCTTATTGGCCTGGAAGGATCCTGGCAAACACTACTAGCTCCACCCTGCTCAGGTACTCCCATTTTACCATTGAGACTACTCAAAAATCCCTAAAAAACTTTAACAGATCCTGTGTTTACTTTATAGACCCGATATGTACATAAGGGATAGTTTATTAAGCAGGGAGATGCATTCAGAGAGATTTTTTGCCATGCTAGCGGCATGGTTCTAGTAATGGTAAGGTCTGTCGGTTGATTGGTCCTCCACTTTGGTCCAGGTCTCAAGAACTACTGCATTATAGTATTTTACTGCAATATTAGATGGATTGCCATGAAATTTGGTACAGATATTCGTGGTGCCCAGAGGATCAATCCTAATTGCTTTGGTGATTCTGTGACATTTCAGCAGGTTAAAGTTCTATCCAGTGAAGAATCTTGACACCTACAAGACAGATTGCCACATTTATGATTCCCAGACAATGAGTCCTAATAACTTTGGTGATCCCCTGGCCTTTCCTGTAGCGCCCCCATGAGGTTGGCATGGGGTTTTAAGTAAAATACAACTGTTAGGCGAATTCAATCAGGAAAGGACAGTCATTTCCCTCTTTTAATAAATTGTAATCACTTTGGTGATCACCTACTGTTTCATCTAGCACCATCATCGTGTCAAAAATATCTGTAAAACCTCAGCTGTACCTATGTGTTTCCCTGTCTCTGGTTCACCTCTTTTCCTTCCATGGACCACTTTTGGTAGGTACTGACCACTGCAGACACCCCACAAGAGCTGCAGCTTTGGAGATACTCTGACCCAGTCGTCATCATCAAAATTTGGCCCTTGTCAAAGGTTGTTTTGACTTTATGACAATCCAACCCTATTATCCCCTATCCATAAAAGTGTGGTATCGCTCCCACTTCCTGATATATAGTTCCACCCGATTGAGTACCCGGAATGATTTTTTATTTATAATGCATCTAGTCTACCCAGCTGGATGTACAACAGAGAAGCTGCAGGCATAGACGAGGCTTTCCAATTCATAACAATGAGCTTCCTTCTCAGCATGAGGGCGGTTTGAATCCAATCTGCCTCAGCGTGAGTTAAATTAGCTAAAACCACGGGGTCTCCTAAAAAGTATAGGGCTGGAGTGAATTGGACATCTTTGTAAATAATTGTTTGAATGTAGTCATGGATCGTTAACCAAAACTCCCGTACCTTTGAGCAGCTCCACGGCATGTCAACCAGAGTACCATTGTACCTCCAGCACCCTGCATCATCACACAGCCCTGCTCTGTGCAACCTGGATGGGGTCCAATAGACTCTAGGGAAGTTAAAACAAGATTAATTCAATTTAGAATATTAAATAGACTTTTTATTTTTATTTCTAAGAATTAAGATCCAAACCCTCTGTGGAATCAACACTGAGGTCGGCTTCCCATGTTGATCTGAGGGGCGACATATCACCATCAGAATTAAGCAGCAGCCTAGAGTAATAGGCCTTGTGACCCTCTCCGAAAATCCCTAGAATTCATCACCAGATATGCAGACGAGGGGGAGCCACAGAATTCGAGCCAAAGGTCTGTATCAGCAGATGCCTCAGCTGAAGATACCTCCAAAACTGATTCTGTGGAAGATCAAATTGCTGTTTTTAGATTTTCAAACAATCTCAATCTCCCCTAATCCTAAAGGTCACCTAGAACCATGATCCCTTTTTGATACCACAGCTTCCAAAAAAAGGGTGCTTTGCCAATACAGAACCTGGATTTAACCAGATTCCCGCATGTTGATGGAGATCGGGGCTGAATCTCAACGCTACTCTCTCTCAGACCCATTGTATACGAGAAACAATTGGCTGTGTATTGATATCTGGGGGTAATTTAGCTGTTATGAAGTGTGCCAGAGAAAGAGGGCTACACAGGATACTTTCCAAAACAAAAATTGAAGGCATAATGCAAACTAGTTCTCTCTTCTCCTCTTCATGCCTTCTTGCAGTGGTATGGACATCTTCCCTACTCTTCTGTCCCTGGCAGGTGTAACTCCTCCCTCAGACAGACGTTATGATGGCATTGACGCCACAAATATCCTCTTGCATGGTGAACACACTGGTCATGAGGTAATCTTACTTTGGTTTATAAATAATTTTCCCTGTATTGTCAGTGGGGGCTGTGCATTTGGGTCTTGTTGCACAAATGCGTGCTTCTCTTCTTTCTCGCAGTTTCTCTTCCACCCCAACAGTGGTGCTGCAGGGAAGTTTGGTGACCTGCAGACAGTTCGAACACGAAAACACAAAGCTTTCTACATCACAGGTATGTGCCAAGTACAGGTCACATGTGCTCAGTCACACTACATTACAGATGTCATGTTATTACTGTAATTCCAACTGTTTGTTAGCAAAATTACAGAACTTTCTTCTCTAAGTGATGACTTGTTTATTAATGTACAGTATGTCTGCCGTGCTGCTTGTTATGCCCTGATACCATGCTGGATGACATGCACGGCAGTATGTCAACATGGTGGTACCAGTCTAGTGGCCTGTTTGTCTGTGCAGATGTATTTTCTGAGCTTAACTCAAAAGGCTATAGAAGCTACATTCACATAGTAAAGCATCATGCTGCAAACATTTTAATATCTACGTATTAAAGCAAGTAGTATTAAGTATTTTAAAAGTACTATGACTCAGTTGTGCTTTAGAATACTAATTTCATGCTACAATTAACCATAAAATTACATATTACAAACCTTAATATTAGGTGTAGGTACTGCAATTTTGACAGTTTTAATGCTAATTTCACATTTGTTTAACCTTTTTTTTGCAAAACCCAACACATATCTTCATAAGCCACAGGTAACCTCCAGCTACCATGTTTTACACAAAGGATAACAACTGACAAAAAAGGAAATGTACATATACTGTACATGTCTTTGAGATAGTTTGGGCAGGGCAAATAATGTGAGAAAAAGGCTAATTAGAAATGCACATGTGCTTGTTCTTTTGAAGGTGCAGCTGAGGCCTGCGGTGGTGCAACAGGAAGGCAGCAGCTCCATGACCCGCCACTGATATTTGATCTGGAGCGTGACGAGGCTGAGGAAACACCCCTGGAGGTCAAAACACCAGAATACCAGGCGGTAGCAGATAGGATCGCCCGAAGGAGGGAGGAGTTATTGTGGGACATTGCCACCGACAAATCTGTGTCCACGGCGGACTACAGCACAGATGAATCAGCAGCGCCCTGCTGTGACCATAGACAGCCTGTTTGCCGCTGCCACACACTGGGCCAAGGGTGGGAAACCACACGCACACACACTCACACAAAAGGCTGAAAGAAGCACACAGATGTGAAATCAAATATCTCCCTTTAGATGTGCTCAGCTGTTTGTTTGTAGAACATGTTGTTTGGGAGGTTCAATGTCCAGATGCAGCAGGAGACGTGCAAACAAGCGGAGAGCAAAGAGGCGCAGGCGGGCGAACTTTGGCCAGTTGTTATTGTGAGGTCAATAATTTGGGAAAAATAAGATCAGACAGTAAAGACATTCTACAATTTGTTAATCAATTTGTTGCAGTGTAATTCAACATAAAGTAGTGTTGTTTGTTGAACAGTTGATGTTTCAGAGAACAACTTGGCTTTGTTAATATTGTGTTGGATGTATGAGCTTTAATTCAGGATTTAAACATTTATATAAATTATTGTTATTTTTTTGGTAAATGAAATCGACACCATGCAGAGGTTGAATCAGTTCTCAGCTTTAATGAGTCTCTGGTGTAAATGTCCAGTATCGAACAGCTCAATGCAGCGTAAGGGGGCCCTAACAGCGCCACCTTTTGGCAAATCAAATGGTATTACCATGTTACTTATTACAACAGTACTATATATAAATGTTATATACATTATACACACAGTAAAAATCCTCAATATATATTTACGCATGGTAAGTCTATGCGTTTGATGTGTAATACTGAAAACATTTTGCAAAAGAATATTTATTACATCAAAGTTAAAATGACTATGACTTCCATGTTAACATATTGAATTCAGCATCATGTAGTAAATAAAAAGGTCTTCAGGATATTACTGAAATTCAAGGACCTGTAACTTTGTCACGTACAGCTCGCCATCAAGAGCTTCACATTCAGCTGCTGACCGCTCCTCCCACAGAGCCAACTCTTTCCAGATATATTATCGGGTTACGTTTGTGACTCCGCAGGTTTTTAGTCTCATCTATCGCTACCATAATTAGTAATGACAGCTGCATCTGCAAGTCATATAATACTTACTGCACGTATCATGATTTAAATAGTGTATCACACTTACATCTTTTCCTTCTTGAGAGAACTACCGCTCCTCTTTCCTGAGGTGTGACACATTTAATGCCCATTGATGAGCTTCCCAAATTCCTGAGGCCCGATTGACAAAAATGCCCTTATGATAGATTTTCAGATGCTAATTTCTAAGACATAGAAGTATGAACAAGTAATGATCTTAAGAGATTTGACTCATTTTATCATTAAATTTATCATTATCGTTAAAATGACCTTACAGTTAACTTCTTAGCATCTTTCTGAAGAGCATTTTTGTGAATCTTTTGTCTCCTCTACTACATTGGTATTTTCAGCTCATTAATACCAGCCACATACTCATCTGGTTGCTACCATGATAATATTGTGCAACCATAATGCCACTGTGTTCAAAGTGTTTCTTGATGTCAGTATTTAAAAAAAAAAAAAAAAAAAGATGAACACTGTTTGTTAATGGCGTAATATGGGAGTTAACAGCGGGACACTTAGACAGTTTTTGAATCTGTCTAAGAAAAGAGTTTAAGATGTTTCTTTTTTTAATGATGAGTGGACCTTCCACTCTTTTTTAGGGTTTTTTGTTTTTTTTACTCCTTACAAAACGTGGTAGGGACACAGAATACAGAAACACCAGGAAGTAACATTCTGGCAAGATTTGACCCTAGGCCAGCAGGGGTACATGTGTCAACACAAGAATATTTTTGTCCACCTCCACTGCTTGAAACAAGTGAGTCTGATTGTTAAGCAGGGGTTGGGTGTTTCATGGGGAGGTTTGGTCAGTTACTCTGGTTGCCGACTGGAGGGAACTCATTTTCGTCATCCAGACAGACGGGGCCCTCAGCAAACTCGTGCTCTGGGATGACCTCACCCTTCTGGGCTCCACCATCCTCAGAGTAACCTGGGGAGAGAAAGGAGATAGCAATCGTCCACTGAGAACCTTTTTTGTTATGTTTTTTTTATTTTTTATTTTTTACATATGTTTGGAAAGATTAGATCAGACTAGATTCATAAAACTAAAACCTTTTATAGGTACATTAGGTTCTTAATGTGTATAAGAAATGATAATGATTAATAAAGTATTTTTATTACTGCAGGGTTTACTAGAACAAAGACATTTTCAGACATTGCCTTCTACTTCCAACCTCTAAATGTATATCCAATCCATACTCATTATACAATACTGACACAGGTTGCAGTGTTGCACACTAAAAGCTTAACTTAATAATCTTTGTGAGCTAATGTTACCTTAATTGACACCTTTTACACTGTAGATATCTTTTATACTACTATAACATATTCTAAAAATGTACCACCACTTGTATAATTGGTTTCAATTAGTCAATAAGTCCCCCTCCATTCAAAAATATGTTTTTGTTTTTGTTCGTATAGTTGAATGTGTGAACTTCACTGTGCAGAATGTGGTAAAACCATTTCACTTTCAAAAAATGACTTGCACTTTTGTTTGGGATTTAAGTTTCATGTATTTCTGATATTATTTGCATATGAAGTGTTTTAACCTAAAGAGCTCCTTGTTTAAAACAACAGAGGCCAGTGTTGAATCTTAGAACGCTTTCTATCAGTTGCTGATTAGGAATACTGTACCCATGAGGGTGGTGGAAGAGGGTGGGGTTGAAGAGAGAGCCACAGTAGCAGCGTATGATTGGCTGGCTGGTTGGGGAGAGACATCCTCTGGTTTGTCCTCTTCACTCTGTTCCACCTGCTCCTCGCTGGAGTCAAACAGCCTGCACAAACAGAGCAGACAAAGACTCAACAACATCGGAACGCCCAGCTCACTGTGATAGAACAAGCATGAACCAATGTTACATCTTAAAGCAGCAATCTGCAAGATTTTGATGTAAAAATGCACCAGCTAGTGGAAAAGTGTAAAATATTAAGACTTAGTCATATGATCCAAAACCAGCCCTCAGTTAAACTGTGAAACGTTGTATTTCTAGAAAAAATACTTTCAGTATTTTATATAACATTTAGCAAACACATCTGTGCTCTTTACCTTTTAATCTCCATTTGTTACAGATTAAGCTGCAGCTCACCGATTTTGTTACTAATATTTCTTACAAATCCCCAAATTTCTTTCCAGCTCACTGCAAATGTTTTGAAACTTAAACCTAGTTGATTTGGGGGCATCTAACAAACATACTGTACTCTTTAAGTTATGGCATATTGTTTACATGCAGACATTTATGCATGGTGCACACACCTGTGTTTTTGGACCAAGACACACTCCCCTCCATCTTGTGGATCCACATTATAGATGTAGAGATACCCGTCTGAGGATGCCACCAGCAGGCGAGGGAGCTTCTGAATCCTGACAAACAAAACACAAACAAGATGTGAATGAACCTACTCGTAAGTACATCTCTCCATAAATACACACCCCTCTCTTGTCTCTCTCCCTCGTGCTGCCTTACGTAGCCAGGGCACAGATGTTCTTCAGGCCAAACATGTTGAGTCGTACTGTGGCAAAGGCTCTGTCCTGATGCATCATGTCGGACACCTGGGTGGGCAAGTAGGTGCTGGCTGCTGTGAACATTTTGCCCACATATGCTGACCATGTAGGAGACTCCTCCTCTTGACTGGTAGGAAACAAGATGGTTAAAGGTCCAAAGATGAAGCTCATTAGTACTGCAGACATTTAGATTTTTTTTGTAAAGCTGAATTTTAGATAGTCAGCCACTTTTGATTTAATAGGAACGCTACTGAATTGTTTTACATTATAAATACAGCAGAGGGTGCTGGTCTTTTTTTTTTCTTTTTCTTTTTTACCTGGGGCTGTGCTGCTCCAGTTTAAAGATATGGACTGTCTCAGTGTTGCTGGAGGCACACAGGAACTGGGCGTCTGCGCTGAAGGACAATGAACTGATACTAACATATCTGACACACACACAGACACACACACACACACACACAGAGACACACACACACACAGAGAAAAAGACAAAACAGTGAACATTATTTGTACATTTGTACTGAAAACAAAAAATGCATGTTTTACTTCTGATATTTTAGAAAGCCCAAATGTAGATTTTTGTTGTTTTTAGATTAGAGCGTGGACTGTGAATGCCAAAAAGTTGTGTGTAAAAACAGCCTCTCCAGTGTTTCTGAGTCTGATGTTTCTACTATCTAGCTGCTCACATTGCTGTCTTAATCACACATGCTCGGTCATTGACACTGGAAGCTGCACGGTGCATCCACAACCAACTACCATTGGCTACTGAGCAGCAAGTGTCTTACTCACCTAAACACTAACTGTTGAGTAACAGAAGGGTCATTTGAACTGCTCACCTTCCTGTCACGAGCTCTTTGTTTAATCTCTGGCGTACAATCATCACGATGAATCATCTTCTCCACTGTCTGTCCACAGTTTGCTTGTTAATACTTTGTAATAGAACTACAGGAAAATGTGAGCGCTAACCTCTTCATCCCTCGGCGGAATTCAAACAGTTTCTGTCCTTCAGGAACGCTGAAGACTCTAATAACGGTGCCCTGTAGAGGTGAACGTGGTTAGACAAGAGGCTGGTGGATGATGAAACAGAAGGAGGGATAAAAAAAAAAGGAATCAAGTCCTCACCTTCTCTGAAGCGCTGGCCAGTTTGCCGCCAGAGGCATTGAAGGTGAGGGCCGCCAGGGGACTGTCATGGGCTTGGATCAGCGTCAGAGTGCTCTAAAGGGGCAAACAAGTGCTTTCTAATGACATCAGCACCAACACTGGGCTGCTTGTCCCCATGGGGGTTTCCAAGAGACGTGACAACAGCGACAATATTTCCTATGTTGCTATGTTAAGAGTTTTAATGCAGCCTCACCAGATTGTTGGCATCGTAGACGGTGATCTCTCCGATGGTGGTGCTGCCGGGGTATGCCAGGTAGGAGTTACTGTGGTTGACAGAGAGAGCGCAAAGACCTACGAGGGAGCACAGAGGATAATTTAGGCACTTTTTTTCTTAAAAACACCTATTGGACCAATCTTCTCAGTTGCTTTAGATTCTAACAACATATATATTGTCTGTCTGGATCTATAATGTGTCTAGTGTTGTGCTGATGGACTGTGTAATGAAACCTTAAATCTGTTGCCAATTTAAATGATATATAAAATACACTATTTGCAATGCAATATTTTGCAAATGCATGAATACTTTTGCACTTTGAGCATCCATTTCTATCCAAGACTACACTGGTACTGTGCAACCTGGCAAGTAACTTTAAAGCAACACTGTACGTTCTGAAAGAATAAGTAATATAGGGGTCTGTATAACAGCTTGAGTGTACCTGAGGGGTTGGTGGGTGTGTTGAGCAGGGTCTTAAGTAGTTTCATGTCTTTGATATTGTGGATGTAGATCGACTCCTCCAGGCACACCACCAGCCGCTGAGGTAACAGTATATCGTTTCAGTGACAGTATACAGTATTTGATAGCACAAACCAGAAGTGGCAACTTTTTAGGGATTACAGGTATGGAAAGATGTTTTTCCTGTTCTTACCTGTCTGTTGAGCCTGACGGAGAGGATGTTGTTGGAGTAGCTGTAGTTACAAATCTCTGTGCCTTTCTTGAAGTGGTAGACGTTCATTCGCCGTGGCATGGACAGACTGACCACCACCACCAGACTGCTGGAGAACAGCCGCTCCACTATATACACATCTGGACACTCCACTGGGAAGGACAAGAGATTGGATACAGATTACATGCTTTTATTAAGCAATAGAGGCGTTACTGTAAGCTCATACCACCACTGCATGAACAGAATATTCATAAAGGCAAATACAGTCTCTTCTGTTGTCAACTCCTATACAATTTCCTGTATGCAAATTAGAATTTACAATGGCCTTACAGCTATCAGAGATCGTCAGTACCCAGACAAAGAGAACATTATTGAGCTCAAACTTCCTCAAACTGACTCTGAACTTTCTCTTTCGTTGTTGCAATTGAGGATTAGAAAATCAAGCGATCACGTGTTTACGCTCTGTTTACCACAGAGCAAACATGTTGCAGCCTGTCAGAGCTGTTGCATGACCAAGGTGAACCTGACCACAGCTCAAATAATACTGACTGCTATCACTCTGCACTTTATGTCATCTTAGGGAGGGGATGCTGGTGTGTCACAGTGTACTTACTGCAAGCATGACTGCATTTTTATAAATGTGGCCGGGGGGGGGGGGCCTGTCATGTGGCATTATATACTTCCTGTAATTTTCAGTCTTTGTGAGTACTGCAGAGAATAAAGTACAGTGTCCCTCTTACCTCCCTCATGGATGCAGTCCAGTTTGTCCACAGCAGTGACTGAGAAGAGCCGGTAGCCAGTCTTGGTGCCCACTGACAGAGATCTACAATAACATCACACACACACACACACACACACACACACACACACACACACACACACACACACATACACATACACACAGAGAGAGACTATCTTACCAGCCACATTCACCATTGTTGCAGTTAAAAATACCTTAATAACACTGCAATTACAGTTGTCACTGACAGCCATTTAAAAAACGATCCTGAAACAAGTCAAACCTGATGCATTATATTTTCTGTATTCGCACACAAACACACACACACACACACACACACACACACACACACACACACACACACACACAATTACAACATAGTTTTTTGTCAACATTTTGATATATACAGTCTGCTATTGTCTAATTACAGAAAACCTTTGTTTGTTTGTTTGTTACTACTACAGATTAGTGAATGGATTTAGTTAAAAGGAATAGGTTGCTATTGAAAAGTGTAGGATTATCAATACACACACACACGTGCAATCACTAGTAGTGGTAGGTGTAGTTGGGGTGAAATATGTTATGGATGCTATGGCTTTATGATTGTTAGTTGTCATCAAGGAAAAAGTGAGATACCACCATTGGCTATGCTGAAATAACCACAGGGAGCCATTGTATGGCCATTACTGAGGTTACCAGCTCAGATCCCGTCTTCACCTCACCTGAAGAGGTGTTCGGTAGCCATATAAGACAGTATTTCCTCCAGACTATCTTGTTTAGACAACACAGCCATAACACGGTTCCATTAAAATAAGTTAATTGCCCCCAAAAGAAGCTTTTCTTATCTTATCATGGCTGAAGTTAAAAAGAACATGATGAGGAAGAGATAAGACAACGCTGTGGACTGTTTGGCCACCTGGTTCGTTTTACAATCAGAGACAGAGGAGGTGTTTGTACAAGGCGACACACCTGTAACTGAAGAAGTCAGTGGGTTCTGCTGGATTTCATAGTTTATCCTTGAATAATCCCAAAGCATGGGACAGTGTATACAGCACAGGTGTGAGTGGTCAGACACAAGCACTTCTGCTTGTAAAGCTGCGCTCAATAATATTTCTATAACCTAAAAAAATGCTTTTACTATTAAACATGTAATATTGTATGTGAATGGGTGTCATGAATCAAGGAGGAGGTAAGCTGGAAACTTGCATGAGACATTGAATAGGCCTGTTTTTAAAAACATTGTATAAACTGTCTTGTTACACAATAGCCAGAAGTTTGGTTACTAACTGACTAGTTTAATGTGCAACAGGCCTGGAAGCTTAACACAGTGGCCTACTTCACCTTCAGCTCTAAGGGGCTCAGCTAGAAGTTTTAATGAAGCATACAGAAGCTTGTAGTTTCATTTTGGATACACACACACACACACACACACACACACACACACACACACACACACACACACACACAAATGGCAGATGGTTGACGCTATTACAAAGTGACATACAATAAACCAGAGCATGTAAATGCGACTATAAACAATTATGCAACAGTCAGGTGCATCAAGGAGATTGAGTTCATGCTGGGCCCAGCCCGCGGGTCGCTTACGTGGTGTCCTGGTTAAACGACGCACAGATGAAGCCTCTGTGCGCTTCGGGGCCGTCCGGTGCGTCCTGGGACTCCATCCGAGCCGCCAAATTCCCTCTCCTCTTGCCGGTCGAGGTCGGAGGCCTTTGGGCTCGGGTCGATCCCCGCCGGAACCCGCTTCCCCTCCTCTGCTCCCCGACTCCAAGCGCCACGCTCACACTCTTCGGGGAGAGGAATGTCCGGTCAGGCTGCGCTCAGATGGCACACATCCCACACCGAGTGAACTGTCCCGAGTCTGAACCAGATCAACGGTAACACCTCCCTGATGAGCCGTTTCACTTTAGCCAGTCGTACAGTGTTGTTATTATGTTATTAACTTCCAATATTCACACAGCAAAACAAAAACAGCTGATGGTTGGATGCGTCACTCTGAGCTGCATCACGATTGGCTGGCGGCAACTTGTCAAACCCTGCGCTCCGGTGTTCCTATTGGTCGAGCCGTTTAAAGCCTCTGGTTCATTTGACGCCGCAGCTGTCAATCCAACAAGACCCGCCCATTTAAGTGAAAAAACGGTTGATTGGCCAATTGTACTTTCTGTCTTGTCACGAGGAATTGTTTTGATGATTTCATTGGATAAAAGACGTTTCAAGCTTTTTTTTTACTGCCCGTCCGTGCAGCGACACATCAACAACCCTTGTCAGAGACGTTTAACTACTGAACACAGCTATTTTTATATTATTATTAAATTCCTTTTAGATACCAATATTATGTTTTTGTTTCTGTCTGTGTATGTGTGTATGTATCTGTTTCCTCGGGTCAGAAGTGGAAAGCAATAAGTGCATTTACTGTGCGTTAATTTTGTGCGGTACTTGTATTTACTGTATTTAAGTATTTCTATAATATTATGTTTACTTGATATTTGTTCTCTACAACATTTCATAGCTACAGATCATACTTTTCCCTACACTACAATTATCAGCATATAGCAGCTTTAGTTGATTGTACTCAGATGCAGATTGTACATATGCATGATCATCTTATCAAATATAATGCTTTATTATGGACTAAACTACCCAACAGAATATAAATCAATTAAATTAACTGCATTTCGACCAGGTTTAACATTAAAATACTGCAAAGACATTAACAAATCAGTCATAATATTACTATTTGATGAGTACTTTTATTTTCGATGGTTACATTTCGCTGATGATAATTTTTTTATGTAGTTCACACTTTGAATGCAATACTTTTACTTTATACCTTATACATGGTGGTACTACTACTGTGGATCTAAACACTCACATCATTTATATAAGTTATTTATTGTTTTGTAGTTGCAGAACTTATGCATTAATTGTGTTCTGCTGCTTGCAGATAAAAGAGTGAACTCTGTACTATTTCAAAATGCTCCTATGAGAATACATTTGTCTGGGGAGCCCACTCATGACTTTTCAGTTCCCTTCTAAGATATGCACCCAATGTCTCCGAAAAAACCCTGACGTTGCACACTGCAGTGAACCAGGGGATTTTACGCATTCTCGAAAAAGTCAACCCGTTTTTTTTTCCCGTTATCAGGCTAATTTTTAATCAGATATAAATCGATTTTTTTTTTTTTTTTTTTTCATTTCTAAACTATTTCCTTGACGTCACGGTTTCCGTGCGGTCTCCTTTAAGGTTGCCAGGGGTTACGGGCTCACATGTCAGAACGAGGAGAATTGACGTCAGTGACGGCTGTTGATTGGTTCCCAGCCGTATCCGGTGGGGCAGCGGTCCAGGGCTCGGGAAAAAAAATCGAAGAGAGAAGGATCTGGTAACGGTACGCTTTGAGAAATATCATCCATCCCGAGTCGCTATCGAAGGGCTCGGCAGGAATTTACAGTTTCTTGTAAGTATTTGCGTTTTTTCGGTTGACGGATCATATGACCTCTGGATAGGTGAAATTTGTTTCCTCCGTCTCTCGTTTGTTTATGATAGAACTCAAGATGGCGTCATTGGAGGAGAGCTTTGCCTTTGCACGGAGCTAGCCAGCTAGGCATCAAACTAGACTCACTCTTTAACATAACGCAGGCCAGAGATAGTCGAGTGAAAGTATGAAACGATTGTTGTTCATTTATATTTCGTGTTTATCGGAGAGTATAATTGAGGGAGGGTAGTGTTTCAGCATTAGCCTGCTTGCTGTAAGTTACTTGCTGCAGCCGTCAGCCTCCTCCTGAAGCCTTCCTGACCTAGACGGTGTTAACGTTACAGACAGGGCATTTGCTTCCCGCTGTCCCTAAAGGCGATACCATTCACTCCATTTGTATACCATTAGATGCGTTATTTATTATCATGTGTCATCCGGCATACTCCGTTGTCACTCGTTCAGCAAGGTCATTTGTGCATCGCAGTGTTTTCTCTAATTTAATTGACAGCCCGCTTCTTAGACAGCAGAGGTGGTGCTGCAGCTCCGTTAACTGAATTAGAGAATTAACATGTTAATTGCATATTCTCACTGCTTCAGATAGTTCAAACTTAGTAAGATTTACTAATAATATAAGGCGGAACAGCCATGTTGTTTGTAGTGTTAGCTCTTAATTTATACCACCTGATCCGAAAACAGTATCATTTATCACTTAGTTATTCCTGTGATAGGTTTAGCTTAAAGCAAGCCTGCCAAGTTTCCACCATGAGTGTAGTCAGTTGCCAGCCTCATCTTTGATAACATGGCTAGTAATCTCCCCTGGGCCCTGTCAGATTAGAAATGATCCGAATCCTATTATACTGAAGCACATGCATGATACACTTGCAGGGACTGGATGGATCGGCCTGTTTTCTTCTCAGGACTTCCTCACACATTTACTTATCTAAAATGCACATGTTGGTTACAGCAGGTCTTTAGAGGCCTTCCTGTTTTAGTTTAGACAGCTAGATCAAGCTCAGAGCTATCTGAAGAAGCTTATATCACACAGGCTGATCACATGATCTGGGATCTGTCAGGCTATTTTGCTCAGCAGCAGTATTGTGACCTGAAATGTTGAAACCCCAAGCACTAGTGAAACTGCTTTTATGGTGTGGTCTGTTTCACAGTGGATTGATTCACTGGCTCTGTGAATGATACTGTCTCTCTGATAGAGAGCTTCATTCAGGCTGGGGAAAAAGTAAGATTGTTTTGGGTAAACAAACCCAGGACATACAGTGTGCTTGTCCTAGTTTGTTGTCTGTGGTCAGATATGTGTGATCACATCATATGACCAGTTTTCACTCCTGACACTCATAAGCACTCAGGCTGCACAGTGGCAAAACAACACCCCATCTCTCAGTGTCTTCTCACTCTGGTTCTATTTTTCTCACATTCTCACGTTTTCTGTCTGTCCGTTTCTCCTCACACACGGACACCCCTACTCTTGTGTTGTTCTCTGGTCATACATTTTGTACAGTGATATCTGAAATCATGTTCCCTTTTCCCCCCTGTGACTGCCCACTCTCTCCAGTACAAAGGTTAGAGGTCACAGAGCAGGGTTACGGTTGTCGTCATGGCATCTGGAAGTACAAGCAGTGAGGAGGAGCGGAGCCTGAGGGAGTGTGAGCAGTACGTGCAGAAACACAACATTCAACAGCTGCTGAAGGACTGCATTGTCCAGCTGTGCACCTCCAGGCCAGACAGGCCCATGGCCTTCCTCAGGGAGTACTTCGAGAGGCTGGAGAAGGTGTGTGCGTGTGTGCGTGTGTGTGTGTGTGTGTGCTTTTTTGGTTGTCCTTATTGAAATCTGAGCATTATATACCAGGCAGTTATTGTCTCATGAGCCAGTTAATATTTGCCAACATAAGCTGTATTTATTTACTTATGGTCAGATGATATTTCCTATTTATTTCTAAGGCAAAGAAACTAAACGTATTTATGACACAGTGTCATAATTGAAAGTCTCTGTCATTTAGCCTGAAGGCCTGTGTATTTCTACTTCAAGATTTTATTTTACACTTCACAAGTGTTAATGTACACTTGGGGATCAGGCTTGCCAAAGCCATGTTCAAAACCAGATGCTACATTTACTATAAAAATCAGTAAAGACTAGTTAGGTGCAAAGTTAGTGAATTAATAAAATAATTAAATTTAAAAAAATACAATTATATATACAATAAGTGAGATTCCACATTACCACTACTCTGACTGGTTTTCAGTCATAGATGCACTCATAACTAGCTACCTTTTTGAATTCAAGGTAGGATTTATTATAGAATTATTTTAAGGGTCTTATTTAAGTTTATCATCCTCTTAATTTCTTTTTCAGATGCTCACCAGATAGCAAGCTTAAAACTGTCTTGGATTATTCGCTTTACCATAACATAGAACTGAGAAACTTGGCTGGAAATAGTTAATAAATATACATAATTCTCTGGAATTATCTGCCCGGCAGTCTAACGACGTCAAAGACACATCAAGGACGAACATCAGACTTTAGTTTTGGTATTTTATGTGTTTGTATATGTTAAAAAGTACTTTGTGAGGGACTTTAATTGCACAAAAAGTGCTTTATAAATAACCCTTGACTTGGATGAACTGCAGCAGCTATAAACCTTGTTGGCTGACAGCTGGCTGACTCCGTCCCCTCCCTCCCTTCCAGGAGGAGGCCAAGCAGATTCAGAACCAGCAGAAGGCCAGCAGTTCCCGTTCAGACTCGCGTGATGAGGAGGTGTCTCCACCCATGAACCCCGTGGTAAAGGGTCGCCGGCGGAGAGGAGCCTTCAGCGCAGAGGTGTACACAGAAGAGGATGCAGCCTCATATGTCAGAAAGGTAGATGCGTGCCAGCAGCTGTGAAGCCTACAAGAGTGTTGCAACACTTACATCTACATCAACAATCTGATATTATCATCGCAGTGAAAAGTTAACTTTTATGCGGTTGAAACTCTTGAGTGAGTGAAAATGTCTTAACACGTAATGTGTTGGTTTCTAAGGTCATTCCAAAAGACTACAAGACAATGGCAGCCTTGGCCAAAGCTATTGAAAAGAATGTGCTCTTCTCACACCTGGACGACAATGAGAGGAGGTACCTGTCTTTAAACAGTGTTTATTTTTTTCTTTTATAAATAAAGATTTGATAATTGTGTGACAGCTGTGTTCAGCTGACCAACTCACAATCTTTTTAACTTTCCAGTGACATATTTGATGCAATGTTTCCAGTCACCTACATCGCTGGAGAAACAGTTATTCTGCAGGGTAGGATTATCATTTCACTGTTGAACATTTATCCAACTCATAGTATGTGTTTGTGTGATGCTAACAGTATTGTTGTATGCACCCAGGTGACGAAGGTGACAATTTCTATGTTATCGACCAAGGGGAGATGGATGTGAGTATCTGATCTTTACACAGATTTTTAGAAAGCAATTTTTGGGTCACCGTTGCAATTAAACACCATGGATTCTCCCCCTGCTAATCTGACAGGTGTATGTGAAC